CGCTCCACCACCGCCACCAGCAACGACACGGAGGCCGAGAGCGGCGGCTGCCCGTTGTCCCGCACCAGGACGAGCAGGCGCTGGCGCGGGGCGTCCCGGTCCAGGAAGGTGCGGGCGGTGCGGAGCTCCCCAGTGTACAGCGCCATGCTGAAGAGCCCCGGGTCCGTGGCCTGGAGCAGCTGGTAGGACAGGCGCGAGTTCTGCCCCGCGTCCGCGTCCATCGCCGACACCCTGGCCACCAGGTAGCCCGGGTCCGCGAAGCGCGGCACCAGCTCGGTGGCCACGGAGCCGTTGCGGGGCAGGGGCGAGACGATGACCGGCGCGTTGTCGTTCTGATCCAGCACGAAGACGGTGACGGTGACGTTGGCGCTGAGCGGCGGGAAGCCGGCGTCCTGCGCCCGCACCTGCACCTGGAAGCTGCGGATCTGCTCGTAGTCAAGCGATCGCAGCGCGTACATGTGCCCACTGTCCGAGTTGATGGACACGTAGGTGGCCACGGGCATACCCTGGATGCGGCCCTCGGCCAGGGAGTAAGACAGGTAGGCGTTGTGCTGGCAGTCTGGGTCGCGGGCGCTGACGGAGCAGATGGAGGCGCCCGGGGCGTTGTTTTCCAGCACGTAGACGTTGTAGGAGGGCTGCAGGAAGCGCGGCGCGTTGTCGTTGACGTCGGACACCTGGACAGTCAGCGTCTTCCTGGTGAGCAGCGCGGGCGAGCCGCCGTCCCGCGCCGTGATGCTGATGTTGTACTCAGCCTCGGCCTCGCGGTCCAGCGGCTCCGCTGTCACCAGCGCGTAGTAGTTGCGGAAGGAGGCCTGGAGCCGGAAGGGCACGTCTGGGGACAGCTCGCAGCTCACCAGCCCGTTGGCGCCCGAGTCGCGGTCCAGGACGCTGATGACGGCGATCACGGTGCCCGGCGGCGCGTCCTCCAGCACGGGCGCCGACACCGACGTGAGGCTCACCTCGGGCGCGTTGTCGTTGACGTCCAGGAGGCGCACGAGCACGCGGCAGTGCACGGCCACGGCCGCCGGGCCGCGGTCCTTGGCCTGCACGTACAGCTCGTGCAGGCTGGCGCGCTCATAGTCCAGCGGCGCCTTGAGGCGCACCCGCCCGCTGCGCGGCTCCACGCTGAACAACTCCCGCACGCGAGGCGGCGCGTGGCCGCTGAACGAGTACTCGATCTCGCCGTTCGTGCCTTCGTCCCGGTCTGTGGCGTTGAGCTGAATGACCAGGGTGCCAGCAGGCGCGTTCTCGGGCAGGCTCACGCCGTAGGAGGCCTGGTCGAAGGCGGGCACGTTGTCATTGGCGTCCAGCACCGTGACCACCACCCGCGCCGTGCCCGTGCGCTCCGGGACGCCGCCGTCCAGGGCCGTGAGCAGCACCCGGTGCGAGCGCTGCTGCTCGCGATCTAGGGCTCTCTCCAGCACCAGCTCCGCGAACTTGCTGCCGTCGCTGCGCGACTGCACCTCGAGCGAGAAGAAGCTGTTGGGGCTGAGCTGGTAGGTGCGCAGGGAGTTGGTGCCCATGTCGGGGTCCTGCGCGCTCTCCAGCGGGAAGCGGGCGCCGGGCAGCGCCGACTCGGTCACCTCCAGCACGTATTCCTGCCAGGGGAAGGCGGGCGCGTTGTCGTTGATGTCCAGCACCTCCACCTCGACGCGGTACAGCTCCAGCGGACCCTCGATCACCAGCTGCAGGTGCAGGAGGCAGGCCCCGCCGGCCTCGCACACCTCCTCACGGTCGATCTTCTCGTTGACGAAGAGGATCCCGTTCTCCAGGTTCACCTCCAGGTGTTGCCTCGCGCCAGCCCGGGACACGATGCGGAATCGGCGCGCCGACAGCTCGGCCACGTCTAGCCCCAGGTCCTCGGCGAGGTTGGCCACGAAGGCGCCGTGCTCTAGTTCCTCCGGGACCGAGTAGCGCAGCTGGGCGGCCGCGGGGACCGGGGCCGAGGCCAAGCGGCAGCTCAGCAGGAGCAACAGCATCTGCCGGCTGCAGAACCAGCCCCTGCCCCTGCCCCAGACGCCGGTGCCCATGGCGCCAAGCCCCGGCTCCGGCAGCGCCTACGGGTGCGGGTCTCCCCCGGGGCGCGGGTGGGAGCCCGGTTCCGGGAGCGCGGCCGACTTTGCCGCTGCAGCTGCCCTACTTGTGTTTGTTTAAGACTTCGACTTGCCAATACTTTGGGGCTCCGAGCGAGCCGCGGAGGGAGGACCCTCCCCGCATTCAGCACCGCATTGGTGGACAGAGGAGTGGAGAGCCGGAGCCGTGATGTTTGCCGGAATGGTTAACCCTTGCCTGCCTGCGGGCGGGGGGAGAGCAGCGAGAGTGAGGGGGAGCCAGAGAGGAAGGCAGGAAGGAAGAGCGAGCGATGTGCTAATTCCAATGCCCGGGAGGATGCAATCATTTCCATACGGTAAAAGGTCAGGTGCGTTCCCAGCGCCGCGGGGGCTCGGCGCGGTGCAGCACGGACCCCGGCGAGTATCGGTGCTCGGCGTTGCCCTCTGGCCGGGCAGCCAGTAGTTACTCCACGGTACGGTCCGTGACCCAAAGCGGATGAACTGGGGGGGGGTGCAAGATTTTCCCACAGCTGTTCGCTCCATCAATAGGACAGATTAAAGAGCCCCCAACACACCGGGAGCCAAATCCTCCGTATGAATATCCTGACATCAGGCTCCGCGCATGGATTTAACCTTTAACAGATGGTTAAGCTCCTGCAGAACTGATTACATTTTATTGGACACCGTTTCCGTGTAATGCTGCGGTTTTTAATTACCAGAGAAGGGGATTACAGCCCAGACAGCCGGATAAAGGCTGATTCCATCAGGGTTGGGACATGGAGACCCCCGCTTCTCCTCCCTCTCTCCCGCACGCGCGTACACACACCCCGTCCTAACTTCCGGCCCACGCAATGCCCAGCGTGTCTCTACCCAGCAAACTCCTTATTGCCAGACCAAACCGCGGGGAGGGGAAGGAAGGATAGTGGCTCTTCCGTGAATTTTGCCTTCCCCTGTCCCCACGGCGCACGCTTCTGCACAGACAGAGGTTCTCTCCAGCTCCGATAAACTTTTTGCCTCGAAACCCTTCCCTGTACATCCAGTGCGCAGGCTTCCTCACCACTCCCACCCGAGCAATACCGGCAGGGACGCGGTTGTGGGGCTGGGAGCGAAGCTGGGGGGCTGCATAATTTCTCCACAGATTGTCTTGGCTTCCCCATGCCTCTGAAGTGGGAGCAGCAAAACTGGCTGCCATGCCCAGGGTTTGCCGTTTGGGGGACCCAGGCGGGCCCTTTGTTACACAGCTGTGCTAGCAGCAGCTGTGAAATTGGCAGCTGCTAGTCAGTTTCACGGGTGCTAATGCATTTGGAAGGGCTGGTGCAGCGGCCCGGCTTGCGCTGCCCCGAACACCAGCCTCGGAGATGGCAGCTCCCAGTGGAATTCATTTCATTTGAAAGGCGTTCTGTCCCCCCCGCCACGCCAGGCACCCAATTGAGATCTCTTTATTGAATTAGTTGGCTCTCGCTTAAACATTTTCTTCAGAAACCTTTCTAAATTCTACCGGCTTTTACTGGGCAGAAAACTCCTCGCTTATCCTGTGCATACTTTAGAAGGATGGGAATTGCCAGCGATTTCTCCAGGCGTTAATTAGGGGATATTGTGTAGTCAAGAGAAGCCCCCTAGTGGCCGGACCTTCCCTACGACTTGATTAAAGGGGGATCATCTGTTAACAATCTACTTAAGGGATTGGGGGAGGCGCAGATTTCACAGGAGATTTATCTGTGCTGTGGGTATTTTCCAAAATACAGCTCGGCACCGGAGCTTTGTCTTCTGTTCATACTGCGTGCCTGATGACAGATTACCAGAGCCACAGCCCCAACCTCGACCCCCTCATAACCCTCCCCCTAATTTATCGCCAAGCAGCAGCAATACAATACATCCAGAAAACAGTGAGCTTCTTGGAGAGGGTTGGAAAGTTCTAGGGTCTTGGGCATAGGCGGAGAAAAGGTATCCGAGGTGCCACAGCTGGGGTAGGTTGGAGGGGGATCGTGGAGGAGCAGAAGTCGGGATCTCAGATCAGGCTTGGACGGGGTAAACTTGGGCTGGAGGCGGAGCAATAGGGCGTCGAGGGACTGTTCTGGTGAAACCAGGCCGGTTCCCAGCTCACAGCTATCCAGGCGGCGCGGAGAAGAGGCTTGGTGTCGGTGGTCCGGGGCCGCGGTGGAGCAGGGGCGCGGAGCTGCCCTCACGCAGTGGAGGCTCCGGGAACTTTGCGATGGGGCGGGCGGACGCTGTGGGAGGGTGGTGGAGCCGCGGTGGGATGAGTGTCGCCAGGGGCTCGCGGTGGCGGAAGGGGTTGTGTTCACGGTGCTCGGTGGGGCGGCACACCCCGATGCCGCAGCCACCACGACAGATCCAGACGGTTCCTCCGCTCGATAGTGAACAACCCCCCCGGTCCTTCTCACGCACCCTGCCCCACATTGGCCGCTAATTCACGAGCTATCATTGGCCCTCACACCTCATTAATTACATGGCATCGCCGACTTAACGACGCCCTCCCAGAGCTGATGCACAGCTCCCGGCAGTGCCCCCAGCTCCCAAACTGAAGGACCCCTTCCCCCACCCAAGCCCCGGATCTGCCCCAGGAAGGCAAAGCGACAGCCGCCCCCCTTGCCAACTAGAGACCCAAGTAGGTCAAGCCAGGAAAGCTTTTTATCAGTTAAGCAGCTGATCTGCTGGACCCAGCATCCCTCACGCAACACATGCAGAACCCCGGCCGGGTCCCGCCCCGCGTGCTCTCCGCCGCCGCCGCATCTTTCTCCCAGAGGCATCCGGAGAGTAGTGGCGGACTGGAGCAGCGGATCCCGCCGGCCCCGCACCTGCACAGCTAACTCGAGCCACACTCGTGCCCTCCCCTGCCCGGGGGTAACTGCTCGGCTCCCCGCTGCCTCCGGCGTCATTCACGCGGGGACCGCCCGACGCGAGACACTGCAAGCGGAGAGCACAGGAACAAATCCTCCCGGCTCTCCCTCGTTCAGACGTGTGTCCCCACGCCCGGGTCCGCTCCCTCGTCCCGGCGATCCGGTCCCCAACCTGCTCCTCGCTCCCTGCCCCGCCTGCCTGCGCGAGCAGGAGGCTCCCCTCCCCCACGCACCTCCTCGCCACACTCTGCTGAGTAGCAATCTCCCTGCCTGCCTTCCCGGCGCTGCCTCCCCCTCAGTCCTCACTGCCCTTTCTTCTCTCTCTCTCTTCCCCTCCCCCCGTTCCTCTCCCGTATTTTCTGCACTGACACGGTCACAGAATTTTTGCTTTGCGCTCCCTGTTCGTTCAGGCTTCCCAGGCCCGGCGTGGAGCGATCCGTCTCCTCCGGGGCCTGTCCGCCTCCTTCCTGTTTCCCTGGGAGCTGCCTTCCAGTTCCCTGACAGCTCCTCCAGTCGCCTTCCCCTCGTGCTTTCCCTGCTAAATCTCCTGTCCATTCCCATCGTGCCTGCCCCTCCTCCCCACACTGCCTAGGGATGCCATTGCTGTTCTGATTGCCTTGGTGACTTCAACACCTTCCCCCAGGGCACGCCCTGGCTCCCAATATCTGGGCCCTGTAGTTTGCTTTCCCCATTCCAAGGTGTTCTCGCCCTCTTCCCAGACCGTCCTCTTTTCTGTTCTTTGTTCGATGCCTTTCCACTCCCTCCAGTCTGGCTTGCTGGTTCCTCATTCCTACCTCCAGACTCTACCCCAGGGGCAGGCAATTATTTTGGGCGGAGAGTGGCTTACTGAGTTTTGGCAATCCATCGAGGGCCACATGATAGGCAGCCAGGGTCAGATAAATATATTAATTTTCTAAATTTTTTAGGGGCCTCGCAGGCCAGATAGAATGGCCTGGTGGGCAGCATCCGGCCCCGGGTCACATTTTGCCCACCCCTGCTCTACCCCTTTGTGCCTCTGAGCCCTGTCATCATCTTATCTCCATTCCCCCTAGGCATCTGGGATCTCAGGGGACAGGGGCAGTGGAAGGTTCAGGGGTGTAGCAGGAATAGTGGGGGATATTGGCTGAGGGGGTGCAGATCTCCAGAGCATAAACCAGGGGGTAAAAAGGGCACTGATTCAGTGGAGGAGGGAGGCTCCAAGGCACAAGGGGGACACCGGAGGTCTGGATGTGCAGTGAAGAATGGGAGGCTTCAAGATTCAGTGAGCAAAGAGGAAATATGGGCAGAGAGCTGTGCAGGAGTATCCCAATCCAAAAGGAGGAGTGGAGGGTGGGAGGGTGGACAGTGGATTCTAGGGGGAGGCACAGGTGTAACACAGTTGTGGGTGGGGCCTGCATAATGCTCTAACCTGTCAAGTTAAAGTTCAAACTAGTTATGCAGCCTTTCCCTCATCCTATTCCTCTGTGGCTTGTCTGTGCTAAAAAACCACACTGTACAACTGGAGTCTATTTTTGGAAGAGACCTAGGGCTAGATAGCAGGGAGTTGCTGCAGCTTAGGACTGAAGGGCATTGACAAAACTCAGTGGTGGTCCCACACAGGGCAGGGTTAATACAGGGCAGAATGGATGTACACAGACAAAGCTGTGTGGGTGGCCAGGGCCAGACTAGCAGGGGAGTTGCAGGTCACCAATGATGTACATTGGCAGACTTGTGTGTGAGACCAGGCTTGGAAATAGCAGGGGGTGCTGCAGGTTAGGATTGAGATGCCTTGGCAAAGCTACATAGGGGAAGTTTCTCCAGCTGCCTGCTGGCACTAAGCCTTGCCTGGCCAATGTTGTTATTCCACTTTCATGCACACCACATTTTTAGATTTTTTTTTTAAATAAAGTCACTGGAAGTACCTCACAGAGAAACATGCACACACAGTGCATATGATGAAGGGGGCAAATGCCCTCCTCAGCTTCTCTAATGGGTATAAAATTCCCCACAAAAAAATTATTGTCTGTTACTCTATTTTCCATAGAAATGTCAGCAGTTTAAAGCTTAAGCCTTATCCAAAAGGCAGATGCTGCCATGGGGGGCACATACATGGAAATGAGAAAGGGCATGGGATGTTTGTTA